GTTAAGAATTTTACAGCAAATATTCATTCATCAGTTTGCTAGGATGCTTATTTTGTTTTATCTATCATCATGCCCAAAGTTGAACAAAAAATGTGGCCTGGCTAACTAATGAATGAATATTTGTTGTAAAATTCTTATCGGTGTTATAAGTGTAGCTACCAGTTTGACCACCAATTTTGATTTCATTCCTTTAAGTTGCACACTCAATCCTGTTTTGACTGCACTTTTTTTCACACCTAATTTGTTTTTGATTAGATGTGAGTAACTGTGACAAGAGTTAGATGAAACATAACTTGTAATTGAGAGATTGAAGTTTTTCTGCAACACTAGACCTGGTTGTACTTTTCAATAACTATGACAAGAAATGGATTGCCTACAAACCATGAGGTGATAAGGATTTTTTAACATTATACAGAGAATGTAAAGTTTTTTGTCAGGCTTAATGGTTACTGCCATATTTTCATGTAATTGGAAATTAAAACTACACAAAGCTTACTATGAAGTCGATGTAAACTGTAGTTATCATCCGGAGTACATAATACTAAAACTTAGGCTAGATGAAATTCCTGCACTGTATGACTAGGAACCAAGAATGTTTGGTTACATCAGGACAAAAGGGTGTCAAGTGCTCCTATATTTTACAGAAATGCCAATTTTTTTCCTATATTTTGTTTGTTTTCTACATTTTACAAAAAGTTTTATATTCTCCTATACTTACAAAATTGGGTAAGCAAGAAATACAAATATTCAAAGAAGAGTGACGTATGCAAGAAAGATGTTACAAAATTATGCCTTTTAAGACTATATTTCTGCATTTTTTCTCAGCATATTTGTATTTCTTGCCCGGTCCATCCGTTAACAGCTTCAGTTGTTGGATATACTACCTAGATCCATTTGGATCAAAGAAATCATTGTTTTCATCTTTTAATGGAATGGGGTTTCTTTGGCAGAAGAACTAAAAACATGATTCTGATAATAAATTCATCAGCATGGGAAACACAGTATTAAGTACTATTGTGGTAATAACAGGAACATTTGCCAGTAATAGAGGAAGGAAAGTTCAGAATATTTATGCTGGGTAAATGATAACTAGAGCAACCTATCTATTGTTTTTCAAAGAAATGTTGAAAATGTGTTAAAATATCCAACAACTAAAGCTGTTTTAGTAACTTTTCATGGAAATCTTACATTTCAATATTTATTTCAGGTAAGAGTTTGTTAATTCTGCCAGAAGCAAAAACTAAGCTTAATGAAAGGTGGTTGTTTGAGGCTGATGGTAATCGACATGAATTGAAGTTGTGTTGTGTTAAATGAAGTACCTTGTATGAAGCAAAATGTAACATCTGTAAATCTGAAATGAAATGTGACAATAGCAGACTTAAATTCTTCAACATGCATCATTGAATCAGAGAAAATTCGTATTCAAAGTCAACCAACCACTGGCATCTGAAAGGAAACTGCAAGTACAGTGTTTGCAGGTGAAAAAAACAGGACCTTCTAGTCAGATATCTGGGACATTAACTGTAAAAGACAAATCCATAATTCTGAATTACTCTGTACCAAGAAAAGACACCTTATGTGCAGAAGTTATCTGGGTAGCAAACTTGCATTGTCCAAAATAAGTTTCGGGCTAGTGATGGCATTGCTGAAACTTTCAAAGCAATGTTAAGTGCCCAAGAGCAGGCAGTTTCAGTATGAGCAGAACAAAATTATCTTGCTTACTATCAGATGGTTTGAGTCCAGCTTTGATATATGATGTATGAAATTCAAGTATTTTTTTCATTGCAATATAATGAAACAACTCGGGCACAACTAAAGAAACAAATGGATCTCCTGATAAGGTACTGATCCCCAACTCATGGTAAAGTCTGGTGCAGATATTACAATTCATTGTTCCTCACATGCAGATGGAAAATCTGTTGCCAACTGATTGTGGAACTATTACAAGATGATTGCATACTATTGGAATCCTTAGTTTCATTGTGTATTGATGGACCAAATATTAATAAGACAATCTTTAGATTATGTTTCAGAGTTAGTCAAATGAAATGGTTTTGTTGATGTAGATACATATAATTTTTATACAACGCACAATGCTTTCAACAAGGGCATAACAGAATATGGTCAGAAAACAGAACAGTTAGTGATAGATTTATTTGGACTATTCAAGAAGAAGGGAGGCTAGAAAGACATATAAATAGATCTTTACATTCTACAGGAATATTTTGTAAAGCATACACAAGTTTGTTGGTTGAGCATTGGAACAGCCTTAAAGCATATCATTGAGTAGTAGCCAGGGACAAGGGAATATGTGTCAAAATTAAAGACTGACCGAAAGTCTATGCCAAAGAATAGCAACTTCAAAGTGATAAGGGAAGCATTAAGGTGACCCAATATGAAAGTCAAATTGTTTTTTCTGTTGTCAATTATCCTTCTGTTTGAAGATTTTCTCAAGAGTTCTAAACTAACCAACCTATGATTCACCTGCTATAGAGTAGACTGACAATGTTGGTTTGCACCATTATGAGACCTTTGTCAAAGCAGGTATTGTTAATGGGATAACACCAGAAGGCCTGAAAAATCTAGATATTGGCATTAAAAACCAGCTAGGTAATGAAGATGTTGTCTGTTGGGAAGCAAGACAGGAGCTTTACAAGTTGAAAATAGAGACCCAACACAAAGAAATTCTTGGGATATGGTCATTCTACATTTCTGTATCAAAGTACCTGATCACTAGGCTTCCTTTTGAAAATATGTTGATCAAAGCACTAGCTTGTTTGTTTCTAGTGAAAAGATTTTGATCAAGGTTCTGTCACAGATGTAGAGGTTTTATCTAGACAACTGATGTTTGAAGAGGATGTTATAACTAACGTTACAGATGAGTGTAAAGTGTAAAGATAATTTAGAAAATAGGGAGAGGGTGGATTATTTCTGAAGGTAAATCTTCATGATAAAGCTTGACAATGGAAGCTTGAAATACAGATTTCTGTCTCTCCTTGTCAAGAAAGCATTAGTGTTACCCCATGGAAATGCAGACTTAGAAAGAAATTTGTATGTTAGTATAAATGTTGTTATCAAAGACAGAAGTGGCATTTGTGGAGAAAATGTGAGTGCTGTATGAACTGTCAAGGATACGGTGAAATTTTCAGGTCCTGACAAGCTTCAGCCCCATAAAATTCAATTCAATAGAGAAGTATTAAGGTCTGCCAAAATGGCCTATAGCAAGTATAAAGAAAGACTGGAGAAAGAAAATGCTGAAAAAGAGAGGCAGAGAAGAGAAAAAGAAGAGGTTAGAAGCTGAAGAGAAGGAAACTAGGAACAGCCACTGTCCCCTTCTTGAGAGAGAGAAAGAATTTTTGAAGAAGAAAACTGAAGTTCAGAGGAAGTTAATCTGTACAGAAGAACTGTTTAAAGATAAAAACAACAGTAGAAAACAGTGATATGAAGAAAGTGGGTATGGCACAGATGATGAAAGCCACAGCAAAGACAGATACCTTAAGAAAATAAATGAACAAAGTAAGTGAGAGTATTGAACAACAAAAGGGAGAAGAAGTTGGATAAAACAGCCAGTGGTAATAAATTGTTGCATGTACAGAGGAAACATTGAGATAAATGTAGTTCTTTATCAGCAAAGGATGCAGAGTCTAGTTCATCTTCTAAAAGGAAATTTATCTAATCAATCATCCAATCCCAAGAAAGTAAAATCATATTAGATATCTTTGTTCTCTTCCCAGAAATATTTGTTCATCAGTGTAACAGTCATTGATTTGCTTGTAACTGTTGTAGACTATCTTTACTACATTCAGTTATTGTTTAAAATATTACAATATCACTACCCATTATGTAGCTTTAATATATCAAGTGCCCAAAAGAACTATTTTTCACTGCCATTATCATTTTATTTCTATTGTTACATCTTTGTCTATTGAAACAGTCTCACACATCTAAGCATTGTTCAAGATAGTGTAGATAGTGTTATGTATAACTTTTTTAAATGAAACATTGATTTTATTTCCTTTGAAGATTTTATCACATTCAGTCATTGTTTAAGATGATTGATATAATTACCAATTATCTAAGTTTAGTATATCAAGTCTAGAAAATTATTTATTTTTCAGTACTACATTCATTGTATTTCTATTGTTAAATTGTATTTCTATATGCATATAGATGTATTTTTTATACTTTCTTATATTTCTGGCTTTGAATTTATAATTTTTAAAAAATTTCATATATTTTTATCAACAAAAGTCACTTGACACCCTGGACAAAACACCAGTTTACACTTCAAAATCCACACCAAAATTGCTAAGAACCATGAAGAATGAAATCAGTGTTCATGGTATCTCCTTCTCTGACTTATCTGTGAAGTGAAGTGACTACATACCTGTGTACTCAGCAGATCTGGTTTGCTTATTTGAGGTTTTGCAAGCTAATGTCCACATGTGGTGGAGAGCCTGGGGAAAGTCTAAACATGCTGTCTTTCTAACAATGGAAACTGAAATTTTGTGCCTTAGTACATGAAATCATGGCCATCAGGTTGAAGATGATTGCCAGTATAAGTGGTAGTTTTAGTATGGTACCTGGAACTTTGTTCTTGCAAAGGGCAATTAACCATCCATATGCACTGTATTGCTTTCAATGTTTTCAGTTCTGTCTTACCTTTTTCATGTCCAGGAGTTTAAAAGTGGATAAATCAAATCGTATTACCATTTCTTTCTCTTTGATACATGGAATTGTTAGAACTATTTAGCTTTCAGTAGCTATGACATTTCACTAACCAATAAAAATACTTATTATGTGACTTAAAAGAGATTTTTGAATTCTTTTTAATATTTATTATCATATATATTGCTAAATAACGATTTTTTTTTCATATAGCAGAGCACTAGAGGCAGAAAAAGGGGAGAAAGAATAGAATATACAGATGCTGAAAAACCATATAGCTGTGAGAGTAAGTTAAAAATTTTTTATTTAGAATAGAAAAATAGGATACATAAGTGTAAAGAAACCATACAGATGTGAAAGTAAATTGTTACTTTGTTATTTAGAATAGAAAAATAAAGGATATACAGATGATTAGAAACCATACAGTTATGAGAGGAAGTTGCTAATTTGCCATTTAGAATAGAAATAATAGAATATACAAATACTAAGAAACCATAGATGTATGAGAGTATCTTTCTATCTTATTGTTTAAAGTAGAAAAAAAAAATATGCACTAAAATCATACAACCTGAGATCATTAAGCTGTTATTTTGTCACTATGAATAGAAAGAATAAAATATAGAAATAATCAGAATCATACAGCCATGAGGTTAAATGTAGAGGTGAAGGACATTTTATTCTTCTGCCAGTGTAGGTCCTGGTCTTTGAACAGTGGCAAAAATCAGTTAGTTGTAATCTTCTGGCAGATGCAGTCTATAAAATATTAAGTGTAGTACAGGCTGTCTGAATTCTCTGTGACTACATTAAAAATTTTCAGCCATCTTGTTTCTAATGCATTTTTAATATCTGAAGGTTAGAAAATATAGACTACTCTTACATATTCAGTTGTATGTCTAACACACGTAATTTGTATACAACTAAAATATGAGTTACAGCAACTTCATACACAACTTTATCTGTTCTACCTATGTGTTTTCTCCATTTGTCTTGTATGCTCAATGATGTTTGGGGTTTTGGATCAATTGTTCCCACCTCAATCACTTCTTGGGTCTTCTCCATTTTCATATGTAGTCTTTGATCACACTTGGATTTGCTATTTTATGCATGTCGGGGTATGCCCACACTACACATTCTTATTTTCCATTTTTTGGGAGGCTATTTTAGGTTATTTCACAATGTGATTTGGTCCCAGTTTTATGCATTGCCCTTTGGACTTGTCTGGTACCATATGTCGTTTGTGGGGTGGTTTGCATTTTACCTGACTTCCACTTTTTGGAGTGATTTTACGTACACTATTCGTTGGATGTATAGCTTTGGTTAGCTACTTCTGAATGGGGGTAGTCTTCACATACTCATTTGCTCCTTCCATAGTCAGCTAGGGTTGTTGGATTTTCCAATTGGATGTGTTTTTCTTGCTTCATACCTCACATTCTCATCTCTTTGGGTGGATAGTTTTAAACACCCCTCTATTGGGACAATCCACAGATTTTCATCTTAACAGGTGAAAGGCCATGTCATCTTGTTTG